CAAATCTCCCTCTTCTTGCCGAGGGGGATGGTGTTGGGGTTGACCCATGCGTTTGCTTTCGCAGGGTGCCCTCGGGGTGGCCCTTGGTAAGGGGGACCCTGTTGCTGAGGGCCTTGGACAAATTGGGACAAATGGCCCGCCTGTATCAACCTTACGATGGCCGTCTTCAGCTGATGGCAGTCATCGGTTTTATGTCCCTGATGCCGGTGGAAGCGACAGTAGGGGTAGTTTGGATTGATGGCATATATCTCCGGAGGTGCGCGAGAATCTCGCTCCACTAGGCCCCTTTCCTCAGCGAAGTCGAGGATGATGGGGTGCGTCAAAGGTGTCCGGGGGTGCTCTAGGAGAACAGGTTGTGCCCAAGCCCTCGGGGTCCCCTTGTAACCTCCCCCGGGCTTGGCTTGGCCATGCCGGGGGCGGTCACCGGGGGGTGCCGAACCCTTGGGTTGATTACAGGGAGCCCCCGGCCCCTGTTGCCTTTGTCGTCTGGCTGAGGGCATTGCTGATCGGGGTTGTGATGGCATTTTTCCACCTCCTCGGCTTCGGCGTACCTGTCCCCCCGCTGTAGGGCCCTTATGTAATCACGGGGGGTCGATGATGAGGCTTCTTGAGAAGTTTCCGGGGCGGAGTACCGTTTGGAGGAGGGCCAGGAGGGTCCCTTCGTCTGCACCATCAACTTTATCAGCCTCCATTCTCCAGCGCTCCAAGAAGTCCCGAAGGGTCTCTTCTTTCCTTTGCCTCACTGTCAGCAAGTGGGAGAAGTGTTTCCTTGTGCGACGTCTTCCCACAAATTGTGTCAAGAATTGCTGGGCGAGTTCCTGCCACGAGTCGATGCAGCCCTCGGGCAATCGGTTGAACCATTCGTAAGCCGGCCCCTCTAAGGTGGAGAGGAACCAACGGCACAAATATTCATCTGACGCCCCTACCATCATCATGCTGTTTTGGTACCTGCTGTAGTTCTCCTGGGGGTTAGTTTTTCCCTCGGTACTTTTCCGGGATCCGGGCCGCCAATACCCTTGGGGTAAATGGCGTTCGGGTCCAGAGTTGTATGGTGGGTTCCCCGGAGCCCTCAGTTATCTTTTTCTGCATTTCCTCCATCTTGGCCAACATGACCTCATACCTCGGGTCTGTATGAGGGGCAGAAGTGGTGACGTGTGCTTTGGTGGCCTCCATCTCGTCAAGCCGGCGCTGGAGGGCCGCAATGATTTCGTCCCGGGGGTCCTTCGGGAGGGCCTCCGCCCCCTGCGAATGGACACGGGCCGAGTGGGCCTGGTTGATTTGGTGACGGGCGTCGTCGACATGGAGAGGTGCCTTGCCCTTGTCTTGAGGGGTACGTCTTTCATTAGCCCTGGAGACGGATCCGCCACTTTCCTGAGGCCTCTGGAGCACCTTTCCCCCGAGGCAGTCTTGGACCCCTCGGCGGTCTTGCGCCCCTCCGAGTCTCTCGAGGGCGGAGGTCCGGGGCTGTTCCTTGTTCATGTTGTGGCGGTCCCGGGATTGGACTTCCTGGGAGGCCGTATCTTGGGCCACGACCCCCTCGACGTTCCCAATCTGGAGGACAGGGTTCCCGAGGGGATGTGGATGAGGGGGAGGCATGATATTCTCCCCGACCTGAGGTTGGAGGGGAACCAAAGTGCCGAAGGCACCCGGATTCTGGGTGAGCGTCTGGATGAAGGCGGAAAATGCCGACTGTACGTCGATAGCGATGACCGGAGGGCTAACTTTGTTCTCGCCCCGGTCCTTCTTCTTGGCCTCGATGCCTAGGCGGGCATCAGGGGCATTCTGTTGAATCTGATGGCGTAGGTCGATAGTCATCTGGTCCAACCCGGTGATGACGCCGCCCCCGGGAGCCCTGTTAGAGGCTTCGGGGACGTCGACTTCGCCGAGGGCCAAGTTCCTGTCCTCAACGTTCTTGGAATTGGCACGAGTTGTTCTCACCATTTTCGCAAGGTGTTTTGTGTTTGGCGAGGGGGAGGGTTTCTTACTTGATTATTCAACCTATCAACGAGAGCACCAAATGATGGATAGTCTACCCGGGGGTATGTATCTGAAGGGTTATTACGGGGAATAACTAGAGAGAAGTCAGAGCATAAGTAAGAGAGAGAGTATATTGCTGAGAAAGTTGTGAGCGTATTTTGCTTGGATTACAAATGGGGAAAAGGGGCGCTATTTATAGTAGTAATAAATGCCAGATAGGGACACGTGTCAAGCATCCAGTGGCTGAGGGGTCACATCAACTGGTTGGCACTAGCAGTCGCATGTGGCCGCATTTAATGCGGCTGTTGGATGTGATGTCGTACTTGGTACGGTGATTCAGACGCATGTGGAGAGGATATTCTGTCGAGAAAGGTGCCCTCGTACGCATGTGGAGACGCATGTCGGTAATTAGCCAAGGGCCCTAAGTACCGGGGGCCTCCATAGTGCCGAGGGCTCTGGGTGCCGAGGGCTACTCATTTTCGCCGTTTTCTCCCAGTAACTTTGTTTGCCCGAGTTGGCCATCCTGTGAGAATTTGGAGCCTTCGACCAGGGGGCCGAAGGCACCTCCAGTGTGCCACGTGGGTTTCTCAATACATGGGGCGCTGTGATTTGGGCCTGCCGTGCTTTCTGGGCCTATTGGGCCTCCCTTAGAATAGTAGGAGTCTATGGGCCGGGGGTTCCTGGGCCATATACTCCATCAAAGAGACATACAAGCTCTAACTAAAAACTCTCAAAAACAACATCTCACATCTCTCAAGGGTATTCACAATTTTCTTGGTTGTGCTATGATGATCTATTCTAATTTTTCTTGATGATAGAAAGACTCTCCAAGCTCTCTATTTATAGCACCAAAACAAGGTACTATGAAGGGGGGAGGAAGGTGGGATTAAACATGAGGAAACTTCAATGGTGGTTGAGGAAGCTCCCTTTGTCTTTCTTGCACATGGATGAAGCTTCATGGTTGTTGCTTGCACATGGAGGAAGCTTCATGGTTGTTGTAATTGAATTCTTCAACAACTATCCTCACTCACACCCCTGCCGCTGCAACACTCGCAGGCAATATTTTGAAGGAGATTACACCGGGCACAATGAACGGGGAGACCACACAACCCATTTCGCATCTTCTTTTCGCAAAGCAGATATGACAAATTATCAAAATCGAATAAGCAAAAAAACGCCTCTCACGCAGGGCGTCACTATTTGGTACGGCAAAGACCTGTTCAACCACATCGTCACTATAGCCTCACCACAGCGGAGACTTCAGACAGTTGGCAGATCGTTAACTACAACAAACGGCACCAATTCACATGCCCTAGCAGCCTAGTCCCTTCTCCACTGCGCACCAACACAACAAACCAGAAAACCTCAGAATTTCTGGAAACTACAATCGTTATCAAAGGTTAGATCTAGAAGATACAAATTATTTTCCAGTTCAAACAATTGAACGGGATAATCATCCACTCAATGAACATCGTGAATCTAGAGAAGATTAATCTGAAACGTCCGGGTCTCAAATTTAAGGAACGGCGGCAACGCCCTTTTCCACGGCGGTTCCGACCGAAGCCCGACAACCTCTGCGTCGGAGACTAGCAAACAGTCGAATGCCGGCACTCATAACCAAGGAACTACGACTTTCCCAATCATTGAACTCTCTACATCGAGGTTCTACCGGTTACAGCTAGGGGTGGGCACGGTTGGTTAACCGCATTTTGGATAACCAATTTTCGGTAAACCGTGATTTCGATTACTATATTTGTAATAACATTAACCATACCATAGCGTCGGTTAACCGGGTAACAGTTAACCATAATATAGGTTAACCATGAACCGGTTAACCAAAAAACCATTTTAAATGGCTGCGAAGGGAAGTATATATACTTCTAAAACTACACCGTCACATAGACCGCACTTATTTGTAACTTTTATACATAAAATAAATAATGGACTGTTAAGCATATACCCGATAGTATACAATTACACTGCTACAGTTCAATTCTCCTCTCAAGAATGAATAAATAGACCGCACTTATTTGTAACTTCTATACACAAACTAAATAATGGACTGTTAAGCATATATATACTCTAATACTTCGTAGGTTATTTTAAAATTGTTGTATTAGTCTATTTAGAATATACGGAGTATGTATTAATTGGTCAGAGTATGTATCCATCGATTTATTTTTTCATTTGAGCTTCTTCTCTTCACAACAAAAAATGTGTTACTTAGTTTGATACAGTATTATCTATAGATTCTTTTACATTCCAGTTTCTTCTTTTCACAATCAAGAATTCTTAACTTTGATATTAATATCTTAAATTTGGTTTATCAGTTAACCGGTGTAGTTTTATTGCAAAACCATAACCGTACCGTGTACCGTTATTTCTTTCGGTTGGTTAACCGTATCGCGAGTTTTTAAAAACACGTTATGGTTAACAAATAAAAACACCAGTTTTTCAGTTTTTTGATACGATTAAGCAGTCAATACGGGAGAAGTGGGGACTCTTTCAGCTGCAACGCATCAACCAGGCACATGGGCTGATCTACTCAAGGTGGCTACGGACAAAGGCAGAAGCAGCTGTCAACTCGCAAATTCAGACCCGGCATTTTTGTAATATGCTGCAAGTTCAGACCTTTAACTTACGTATCATGCTGCTGCTCTCTTACGTTAGTTAGTCAGGCCATGCCCTCTTTCCTTTTTCTTATGTTAGTTAGTCACTCCCAGGCCATGCCTCTTTCCTTTTTGTTTTCTTTTTTCTCTTACCAATTTTTTCATTAATTTTAATTTATAAAAAATATGCTATATAAAATGTGACTTAAGGTCCTAGATTAACATGAATTACGTGTTAATTATTAACATGAATTATTAACATTGAGTGTTAAAATTGAGTGTTAATTATTAACATGAATTACGTGTTATACTAAAATGTGCATGGGTATACTAAAAAGAATATTATTAGTTTTCTAATTGAAGAACGATAAATTATAATTTTTTTTTAAACCCGGAAGGTAAACCACCAAAATCGGTGGGTAAATGCCGGGGAACATTTGCAATTATTTTTTTAAAGATATAGAAGTACACAAAGAGAGGGGGATCCAACCAATACCTCTCTTCAGAGGCATACCTCTGTAAAAAAATTACATGGAAGAAAATAAATGAACTGAAATACAAGAATTTTTTTGGGGGGCTAGACCTGACCCAAAAAATAAAAATACATGAATAATTAAAAGTGAAAGCTAGGAATACCAAATAAATCCGCATAATAACTAGCTTTAACCAACCTCTGGAAGGTGGTTAACCCGATCAAAGCGAACACTAAGGGCCGGAAGAATTTGATGAGCCGCTAAGAAATGTGCCGGCCCATTAGCTTCTCTAAAAACATGCCCAAAAACGAAATTCATGTCCGAAGCTTTCCTTCTAAACGTCTGAAGCTCAGCTGAGTTTCCAGAATCGTCGTTCAGCCTGGTAAGCAGCCGGACAACATCTGTTTCCACCTGAACATCAACAACGCCTGCCGCCATGGCCATCTCCGAAACTTGGACAAGCACCTTCCACTCCGCCTCTTCACAATCATCAGCTTGAATCTGGAAAGCCATGGCACATATCAGTTCGCCAGATCCATTACGCAGAATAGCTCCTCCTTGAGCCGAATCAGGTAAAAAAGATGCATCAACGTTTATTTTGTAATTTTTTTGGGGACGGCTCCACCTAATAACCTTAATGCCTGGGGGAAGCAAACCTGAAATTATTCGAAATCAACCTCTCTCGTTTAAGAATATCATCCACATAGGTAGGTTTGATTTTAGACAATTTGCAGGCCCAACTTTGAGTGTAGCACTTAATTTGATCGATCAAGTGTTCTGCAGAAGGAATATTTGTCGAACCCCAAACATAAGCCGTGTACGATAAATTATAAATTATTTTGAAACTAAAATTTATTATATTTCTCATTTTTATATACCCGAGTACATGGCCGGTCCTAAGAAAATGCAGGTCATGTGCAACAAAAAAATGGCCCTTATGAGTATAATATTTACACGTAATGTACATCAATATAACGCTTTGAGATAAACACTATTACAGCTGACTATTCAATGAAGATGTTTTGAAGCTTAATATGTCTTGAAATTTTTATGCTCAATTGTAGAGCTCCAATGTTCAATAGAGGAGACTTTATGATCAATGAAAGTGTTTTTATGCTCAACAAGCAAAGCTTACTCAACAGAATGCATATTTCAAAAGTTATATACTTCCACCGTCTCTTTTTAGTTGCAACAGTCAACATTTCACGTTTGCCAAAGCACAACTTTGACCGTCATTATATTTAATTTTGTATTAGTAAAAATAAAATAAAAATCAGATTATAAAACTTAGTAATGAGACGAATTTAACAACATTTTTCAAAAAAAATAATTCACATACATTAATAAATAAAATGTAGTCAAAGTAAAGTACATGAATAGTGTATATATTCCAATGTTGCAACTAATGAGATACGGAGGATAGTATTAAATTAGATTCATATATTGGAATTCATAGGAGTTGATTATAGATATAATTTATCAACTTTTAATAAAAGAAAAAATAAGAAAAAGAAAGTGAATCAGAAATTATGAAACAGAAATCACGATGCTCAATATTAGACTCTTAATACTCAACAGAATAGGTCGGATGCTCATTAAATGTTCATTAATACTCATTTTACAGAAACTGTATTTTTCATCTTGATATATGAGGTTTGATGCTCAATGAAAATGTCATGATGTTCAAGTAACAAACTTTATGATTTTCATATTAGTACGCATTTCGTAAGTTACATATGCTCATTTGGTATTGATGTTATGCTCATTTTTAAAATGTCGTATCAATGTATATTTCAAAAGTATCATATGACATTATACTCGCATATTGAAATTAATAGGAGTGTATTATAGATAGAATTTAATAAATTTTTATAAAAGGAAAACGAAGAAAAAGAAAAAAGAATTAGAAGATATGAAGCATGGATCGTGATACTTGTTGTTAGCCTCTTAAATACTCAATAAAATAGGTTAGATGCTCATTAAAAGTACACTATTGCTCATTTAGCGGAAGCCGTGATTTTTCGCTTAAATTACAAAAATGCCAGTAATTTTTTTTGGCTTGTATTAGTTATTTAAAGTGAACATTAAAAACTTATTAAATGAACATTTAAAAAATTTAAAGTGAGAATCACACCAATATGCATGGACATGACATTTTAAAATGAGCATTACACCAATATCAATTGAACATTCATACTTACGAAATGAGCATCGAAAAATTCATAAGTTATGAAATGAGCATAGAAAATTTTAAAATGAGCATTACACCAATATGCATGGATCTGACATTTCAAAATGAGCATTACATCAATATAAAATTAACATACATTACTTAAAAAATGAGCATCGAAAAACTTAAAACGCTCATTTAAAATCTTTAGTATGCCTAAATATTAAATGAGAATACATAACTTATTAAATGAGCATTTAAAAATTTAAAATAAGTGTTACACCAATATTACATTTTAAAATGAGTATACATAACTTACGAAATAAGAATAAAAAAATTTAAAAAGATCAATTAAAATCTCTAGTATGCTCGAATATGAATTTGTGTAGGCTCATATCAATATAACATATATAAAGAAGCACCAATTCCTTATTTTAGACCAACCAATTTAAGTATGCTTATTAGAAAAATTAAAATTCAAAAAAGAAGAATGGAAGCAAAATAGAAGAAAAAGGAAAGTTAAAGTTAGATAAACTAAAATTCAAAATCAAAAGAAATGAAAAACGAAAAAAAAAAGCAACAGAAAGAAGAACAAGCAAAAACGAGGAGAAGCTGAAAATGAATTGAAAGTGGAGATGAAAAAAATGTAAAATAAAAACAATGCAAACTGAGGACAAACAGGAAGAAACAACGGGAGAGAATAAAAGGAAGCAAACACTCCACTCTATATAATTGATCACCTTCATTTTGCAAACAATTACAAAAAAAACGGGTGTACTTATACATTCGGGTGTACGATATAGACACCGTTGTCAACTACACACAGGCAGTGGAGGACCTAGGGGAGCCTAGGGGGGCAAGTGCCACCGCTTTCGGCCAGGAATTTCACTACTATTACTTAGACTAAAATCAGTGCCCCCGCTTTCGGTCAAGAAACTCACTACTAGTACTTCGGGTAAAATTAGTGCCTCCAACCCGTACAAAAAATTATCAATATTAGATAACTAAGATACTAAAATGTTACAGACTTACGGTTATATAAATTAAAAGTTAATACATAATATTTAAATTTTAGCTGAATTAAAATAAAAGATATAAAATTCTCAAAAAAGGAATTAATGTGGAGCCACTTAAAAGTAATTTAATGAATTGTGCGGCCAAATTAATGTGCTGCATTCCCAAGCAAAAGTTTAGAAACACTAAACTACCAAAAGTTAAACCCTAGCAGATGAGCAGTCACGCAATGGCGTTGCCTTCTAAAATCTAAAATTGCCTCTTTCTATTGCCGCAAATCCGCAATGGCGTTGCCTTCTAAAATCTAAACTGCCGTTCCATTGCTAAACCGCCACTGCCTTGCTAAACTGCCAATCAGCTCGCTGCCTTGCTAAACTGCCGCTCAGCCGCTGCAGTGCCGCACCGTCCAATCGCTGCTTCATTTGTATTTTGTAAGTTTTTTCGAGTTTATTCCGGCACCTGCTCTTTTAATTTCATTCAATTGGATAACTTGCCACTGTGGATTGTTATAAAAATTAAAATTGTTAATAATCAATTAATCACGAATATTGATGATTGTTTGTTTACTTGAAATTTGATAGTTTGAATTTGTGAATGCCCTCTAATTAGGGATTATGATTTTAATTTGTAAGGTTTTTTTAGACTTGATTGTATATGTTTTTTTTATTAGGAATATGAGTTTGGATAAATTTGTAATTCAGATTAAGAGGACTTTAACTCAAGGGGATAGTTCTTCAAATGTTCCTAATCAGTCTATCTCAAGCGATGGAAATGTTATTGCTTCGAATGTAAGCATTGTCCGAGATGAGTCTGATGACATTAGGGGAGACAAAAGAGCACAGACAAATAATACGTGTGAGTGGGATATCATTAGCGATCCCGCATTACGAAAGCCAATCATTGAATATGAGCAGGCCACTGTCTATCTTCTAAAGATAAACATTAATTTTTGTTCCTCCTGATTGGAGTGGAGTAGGCCACTGCTCCGTGCGAGCAGTTGGCTCCGCAGCAGGCTACTACTCCGTGCGAGCAGTTGACTCCACAACAGGCTGCTACTCAGGCCGCTACTCCATGCATGTTGAAAGTCCACAGCAGACGGCTGCTGGGACGTTATAACGCCATAAATGCCCAACGTACCTTTGCAATTAATGGACGGTTTTTGGACGAGAATCAATGCCAACGTGCTGTACATTGATTACCAACGTTCATGTCCGTTAAACCTCCATTAACACACAACAAATCTTCCCTATAAGTAGCTGGCAGGTGATTTGCAACAAACACAAGTTCATACACACTTCCTTCATGTATTTCTGAGCTAAAAACACCTCTAGCATTCCAGATAATTTCCTTTGTGTGCAGCCTTTGTTCACGTTCGTTGGAACTTTAGTTTGAGTGCTAAACTATTGTTCGAAGTCATCGTATCCTGGGAAACGATCGTTGCAACGCTCCTAGCACCCTGGGAGACAACGAATACGTTTTAAGGAAATTGTGCGTAGAACGAGCTTTGGCTTATTCTGCTTCATCTCATTTCTTGTTTTTCTTTAAGTCATTTTATTTAATTAATTTTCTTTGTTTTTTCGAAACACACCCAACAATCTTAAAACGTAATCGTTGCTTGTTCTATTGTGGTAAACAATCTTAAACTTGTAGTTTGTCACCTTGGTGAGCGAACTTGTTTTTTGTGTTTTCGAATAACGTAACAAACGGAAAATGACTTCTCAAGAAAATGAAAATGTTGTTGGGCAGAATGCTTTGAACGGCTTTAACGATAATCACTCTGAAAGCGGAGCTCTGGTGAACAATAGTTCACAACGCGGTGCATCTGCTTTGGTTAACCAAAGGGCTATCCCTATGGTGACCGTGCCGAGCAACTCTGTGGAGAAACCCGAAAAATTTAATGGGTTAAACTTCAAGAGGTGACAGCAAAAGATGCTCTTCTATCTCACTACTCTCAGTATTGCACGTTTCTTGACCAAGGATGCGCCGGTTGTAACCGGGGGTGAGGTGGATGCGTAATCTTTCAACGCGGTTGAAGCATGGAAGCATTCTGACTTCCTTTGCCGAAACTACGTGTTGAACGGGTTGCATGATGCTTTGTACGACGTGTATAGCAAATTAGCTACAGCTAAGGAGCTATGGAATGCTTTGGACCACAAATATAAGAGCGAGGATGCCGGTGCAAAGAAATTTATTGTCGGTCGATTCCTTGATTTTAAAATGGTGGATTCGAAGACGGTCTTGAGTCAAGTTGAAGAAATGCAAATGATCTTCAATGAAATTCGAGACGAAGGAATGACAGTTAGTGAGTCATTCCAAGTGGCGTCAATTATCCATTTATTGCTGCCGGCTTGGAAGGATTTCAAGAACTACCTTAAGCATAAGCGAAAGGAAATGAACTTGGAGCAATTGATCCTCCGTCTGTGGATTAAAGAGGATAACCGGAAGAATGATGGGAAACTCCCAATCATTCATTGCGCCAAGGCCAACGTGGTGGAGCATGCAAAAGGCTCCAAAACTAAAGGCAATGGGAAGAGCAAGCTCGGTCCCAAAGGAGGCGTTTCCAAACCCAAGTTTAATGGAAAATGCTTCAATTGCAACAAGATCGAATCGACACAAGTCCTCGGATTGCATGGCACCATGGAAGAAGAAAGACTCCCAAGTCAACTTGGTGCAAGGTGGGCAAAAGGATGAAGACATCATCCTAGCGGTTGTGGTTACGGAAGTCAACCTCGTTGGATCCAATTCCAAGGAGTGGTTCGTGGACACCGGTGCAACCCGGCACATTTGCTCTAACCGGGAGCTATTCACAACCTTTAATCCATCAAACGGTGAGAAGGTGTGGTGGGAAATTCTGCTCATTCTGAGGTGGAAGGCGTGGGCAAGGTGGTCCTGAAGATGACTTCGGGTAAGGAGCTGACTCTCAACAATGTGTTTCACGTCCCGGAGATACGCAAAAACCTGATCTCGGGCTCTTTGTTGAACAAGCATGCCTTCTGCATGGTCTTTGAGTCGGACAAACTAGTTTTGTCTAAATCTGGAATGTATGTGGGCAAGGGGTATGCATGTGACGGGCTGTTTAAGCTCAATGTAACGACTATTATTATTAATTCTGCACTGGCATGGGCTACAACACGATATTCCGCCTCAGTGGAGGATCGAGCCACACATTTTTGTTTGGTGGATTTCCAGGAGATGATGTTTGGCCCAAGATAGAGGACATAAGCAGTAATGGATCTTCCTTGCTCATGAATATTCCCCCAGTCTGAATCTGAAAAGGCAGAAACATGGAGACTAGCAGATGTTCGGAGAGTCAGCCCATAGTTAAGAGTCCCTTTTAGGTAACGATAAATTCTTTTGACCGTCTGCCAACGAACTGTTTTTGGGTGATGCATGTGTTGAGATAGTTTGTTTACGACAAAAGAGATGTCCGCTCGGGTAAACGCCAAGTACTGAAGAAGCCCAAGGGCCCACTGGTATTGAGTCGCATCTGTGTCAACATCATCGGACGTAGCATGCAAAGCAACAGAAGTACTCATAGGAGTATCCATTTCTTTTGCTCCTAACATATTGCACTCCTCTAGTACATGAATGATATATTGACGTTGTGTGAGGAAGAGGCCATCCGTATGAGGTATTACCTCAATACCAAGAAAATGGTGTAATGGGCCCAAGTCCTTAACAGAAAAACGTGGAGTGAGTTGAGAGACAAACTTGTCCAGGGCAGATGAACTATTACCTGTTAAAACAATATCATCGACATATATAAGAAAATATAGAAGCACATCCCGGTGAGAATAGATAAAGAGAGATGTGTGTGCTCAAGATTTACGAAATCCAATCGAAATCAGAAACTTGGAGAGTTCCAAGTACCAAGCACGTGGCGCCTGTTTCAAGCCATACAGAGCTTTGCGTAGGCAGTAAATATGAGTAGGATGCGTGGAATCAACAAACCCAGGCGGTTGTACCATAAAGACTTCCTCAGATAGCGTGCCATGTAGAACGCATTGTTAACGTCAAGTTGACGCAGCGGCCACTTCCAAGCAAGTGCAATAGTGAGGATTATGAGTATCGTGGCCGGTTTTGTGACCGGGCTAAAAGTTTCAAAATAATCACGACCTGGTTGCTGGAGATAACCACGAGCTACAAGACGCGCTTTGAACCGTGCTATAGTACCATCAGAATGTCGTTTTACCCTGAATAACCATTTACAAGAAATAGGTTTTTGATTTGTATGAGGTACTAACTCCCAAGTACCATTACGCTGAAGGGCCGCAAATTCTTCATCCATGGCCTGCTTCCATTTGGGGTCACGAAGGGCAACTCTCACACTGGTGGGTTCAAGCTGGCAGGGTATTGGGTGAGTGAGGGTATTGTTTATGAAAGGGCTGCCAAGATATTTGGGATTAGGGTGTCGGTTACGTAAAGGGCGTGAAGGGAGTTGCATGGGTTGCATGGACGATGAGGTGGGGGACACTTGGCCGAACATAGGGAGCAGGTAGTTGTTTACTAGACCGTTCCATTTTATTAGGAGAGAGTGAGTCATCATGCGTATTTTGCATGTCATGCATGGTGTCACTAATTGGCCCGGGTGTGCGGAAAGGAAAAATCTCATGAATAAACTTAACATGCCGAGACACATATATACGACCGGAAATGGGCTCAAGACATAAATAAGCTGATTGGGATGTGGAGTACGTAACAAAAATGCACGGTTGAGAGCGGAGTTGAAGTTTAGTAGTGGAATAGGGTCGTAACCACAGATAGCATAGACAACCAAATGGACGTAATTTGGTGTAGTTAGGTAAGGTAGTAGTAAATAATTTATGATATGGAGTATTGTGGTTGAGGGTTGGTGTGGGTAGTCTATTAATTAAGTAGACTGCAGTTTGAAACGCATAAGGCCAATATGTAGTGGACATTCCAGCGTAATGAAGTAGACTTAGACCGGTGTCAACAATATGGCGATGTTTACGCTCGGCAATACCATTATGTTCAGGGGTGTGAGGGGGTGTGGTAAAATGACATATACCATGACTGACGAGATAGGGTTTTAATTTGAGATATTCACCACCATTGTCACTAAAAGGGAAATGATGGGACGGTGAAAGAATTTTTCCACTAATTTGTGAAATTGGGGAAAGATAAATGACACTTCGGATTTTAATTTGAGTGGATAAAGCCATATGTAACGGGAGTAAAAATCCACAAATATTACATAATAGCGGTATCCATCATTTGACACATCACTAGTACTCCAAACATCAGAATAAATGAGTTCAAGTGGTTGAGTAGCATGCATAGAATTATTAAAAAATGGGAGTTTGGTACTTTTATTTATATGACATGAATTACAATGAGACCCAATAGTGTCAGAACACGAAATTGGGATATTATTTTGACGAACTAAACACTGAAATATGCGACGAGATGGATGGCCAAAAGTGTGATGCCAGACTGAGGGGCCCAAGACATGAGACACATGGACTTGTGGTGATGAACGAACTGGTGCATAGTAAACATCAAGATGATTCTCCCCTCGTAGTAGAGGCGTCCCCGTGATTCGATCCTTGACAAGAAAATGAGAAGCAAAAAAAATCAACGGAAACATTGTTAGTTTGACACAATTTAGCAACTGACACAAGATTTTTACGGAGGGAGGGAACACATAGGATATTGGATAGGGACAAAGGGCGAGTGGGAGTGGGTAGGGTAGTTTTACCAGTGTGAGTGATAGCAAGCGACTTACCGTTGTCTAGGTGAACCTCATCTGGACTGCCATAATCAGTATACGTCGGGAGTTGGGATGCATCAGAAGTTACATGGTGCGACGCACCACTGTCAAATAGTCACGGCTGATTTTCAGGAGACGTGACTGTAGTTGTATACTGAACATTGGGAGCCGCCGGATAAGAACCTTGTTTTCACGCAAAAAGCATTACAGTTTGCGACATGACTGAACATCATGCCCCAAGTTATCACAAAATCTGCAAATTAAAGTGGAATTTGGGCGAGTGGCCGACACATGCATGCCTCCACGTCCATGCGGCCTGGATCCATTGGAGCGCCAATCTTGACCTGCAGCAGGGCAGCGGTCAAATTGGGCATTTGACCGAGAAGCATGTTGCGTAGCATTTACTGTGGGGACCAGGGTTGGCGCAGTAGTTGCCTCCTCACGTATACGGTCCTCACGCTCCAGGAGGATGGATTGAAGCTCAGAAAGAGGCATGGGATTTTCACGTACACGAATGGCAGATGTGAGATCGCCATACTCCGTACCTAGACCATTCAAGATGTGAACGAGCAAATCTTGACCCGAGATGGGATTCTGCGCAAGGGCTAAGTCATCAGCAATTGCTTGCATTTCCGTGAGATAGGCTGTAATGCTTCGGGATCCCTTCTTGGTGCGGGACAGAGTAGTTTTGAGAGATATGACCCGACCACGGGATGTACTTGCATATGTGAGATTGAGTTTATCCCATGCTTGTTTGGCGGTGAGAGCCGACGAAATAACTGGTTGGATAGTATCCGAGCAGCTACCAAGTAGTGCACTGATAATGGTTTTGTCCTGTCGATACCAGATAGTATAACAGGGATTGTTCATGTTTTGGCCGAATCAAGGAATTGATCCGGGTATGCAGTGGTCCCATTGAGGTAACCTTCAATTCCCAATCCAATGAGAGCAGATTGGACCTGGCATTTCCACACAGGGAAGTTCGTGGCTGTGAGTTTGATGGGAAAGTGATTGGTGGCCGTGAGAGTGATGACCGGGGTGGTGGCAGTGATTTCCATAGCACAGACTCGAGGAAAAAAAATATAGGTTTAGTGATCTCGTGAGAGTAAGACTCTGATACCATGAAGAGAATAATACTTCTTGTATTTAATCAAATGAGCTGAGCTCATATATATACAATTACAAAGAGAAGGATAAGCTATGTACGTAACTACTTGATAAGATAAGTATTGCACCAACTAACTAAGGATAAATACAAGAATAATATATGTGCAGATAATACAATATAATAAATATAATTTATGCTTTAATACTAAGTACTAACTTTTGGTTTATAAATTATAATGGTTTTATAATTTCACCGAAAATGTAAATTGAAATTTAACCTAATTTTTTTAAACATGTATAGGATTAGGATAAATTTCAGTAATTGGTATTTGGTAGTAATTATGTTTTCAAGAGAGATTGAATGAATTGACGTTGATATTAATAGAATTTGAAACACTCCAAGAGATTGAAATTGCAAATTTGGTAGATAATTTTGCCTCCAAATATGCTAGAAGAATTTCTCTATTTAAATGAAAGGTATTTTATTAATGACTACTTTTATTTACATTATTGTTTTCATTAGTAACTTGTATTTTAGTACAAATTATTTTTGTTGAAACTTCGGAAAAAAGGCCCATTTTTTGTTGTTGCACAGGGTCTCCATTTTCTCGGGACCGACCCTGCTTTAACCCATGTTGGACTCTTATTAAAGAAACTTGTCTTTACGCATGGTCAATTGTACTAAATTACTACAAATGTTGTTTACAAAGAAGTCTTTCTAAATGTTTAGTCTTTGTAGATCTCATTGTATGCTTCAAATGCTTACAAACAAGTGTTTCGAACTTTATTGTGTATTTCGTTATTCCCTCTTTCCTCATATATAAATCGTACATATTATTAGAGATAACTATAGTTTTCTCTAAGGTAACTATTATTACCTATAATCGTTATTCCCTCTTTTCTCATATATAAATCGTACCTATTATTAGAGATAACTATAGTTGTATAATGTTCATATATATATATATATATATATATGTGTGTGTGTGTGTGTGTGTGTGTGTGTGTGTGTGTGTGTATTACATGCGTATAAAAAAATATCATCTGCACATGCACTAATAACGTTAATAAATAAGATTTTATAACTATTCGAAAATATAGATCGCGCATCGCGCGGGTGAAAATCTAGTAATACATTAAAATGGTGCGAAAATAATATTTTATATAAAGTTTGGGGTATTTAAATTACATATGCAAGTTTGGGGTATTTACTTCACACCCCATCAAAATTTAGGGTATTTTTATTATTTTTCCCTTAATAAATATAATCATGGAGTATTACAATACATAAACTATTCTTCACAAGTATAATCGAAATTTATTTAGCATTTAGAAGTCTGTTTGAATCGTTTGATAACTCTAATTTGAATTTATAAGCTTTGTCATAAATTTTTTACTAATATAAATTTTTGTTTCACACGTTGAATTGTGTTATGATCAAAATAAGCAAGATTGAAATTACTTTTGTGGAAGAATTGATTCAAGTTATTATAGCAGACCGTTTTAACTATTTTTCTTATTTTTTTTAATAAAAATGTATCTTATATAATCCGTATATCATTTTTCCATAATTTAGCAAATTGAATCATTTCATTCAGAATTTCATTAATATTTACCTATTCAACTCATTCAGATAATTTTAGACCTTTTTCCATTGATATTACTAAATTACATTCAAAAAGCAAAAATATCACTTATTTTAAAATTTTCCAAAAAGTAACATATTCAGTTACTAGTTCCCAAAGACTAATAATCTACCAGTAACTTTTTACCCTGAAATTCGTTATAGTACTAGTATATACGAAGTAGCAACTATATTTGTTCAAAAAACAAAACTAGTCACATTTGTGTCTAGGAAATTCTATTAATATTACACATGTCATTTTTTCATAATTTTAGTGTCAATTACCAAACGGGTTGCAATTTTAATGGTAGCTGATGATACTCAAAGAGTTATATCCTATGTAACACTGATACGGGTACGCGGAAACAGGTACGAGGATACGACAAAACCAAAAAAGTAGGATACGGATACAGGGCCATATTTATAAATATTAAAATTTATGGGGTGTATTTATAAATATAAAAAGTTATAGGGATGCATTTATAAATATTAAAAATATTTTTAAAAAAAAATGACATATATAATCCTCCGATGTCTACTCATTCATGTCATTGAAGCATTTTACATTTTCAAGATACTTAGAAATAAGTTCATGTTTTATTTCATATACACTAGTGCACCTCGAAATATTAATATAGTTAATAAGTAATTAATTTAAAATGAGAAATAATTCAAACAACTACAATTTTGAAATTAAAAATGCAAGTACTCAAAGTTGTAGAATAATGAAGATAGAAAACAATATTTTAAAAGTTCTAATACATATTTCCGTTGGAGCTATTAATTTCGAGGGATGATTAGAATCTTCTATTATACAAAAGCAAGAGAAAAATGTGAACAGTGTTCCCGCTCAAAAACATCACACTCACGGGTCGGGGTGGGTGCGCAATGGGGGTACAGGCCTGTGTGGGAGTTTTGTGGTCAAAAAGAGGTGCAATTAATGTTGGCGTCAATATCCAATGCTGCAGTTTTAGTGGCTCAAGATACAATGTACTTCACAAACATTGAATGCGTTGTACTATTAAAAATTCAAAAAAATGCATTGCTTAAAATTGATCTGGCCGGGTGAGAATGAGCTGTATTTAATACAACTTTACACAGGTATCAACCTACTTTATTGAGATTCTCAAGACAAAGTAGTGTGTGGTCTACTAAAATATCATATCACATAATTGCTTACTTTTGACCAATGGGTAATCCTATTACATATTCAAAACTTTTAAAAAATTGTAGTATAAATCGGTCCAACTTAATTAGCTGGGACCTCACCGCAACACTACACAGCAATGGAACTGGAGGTGAGGTGTGTGAGCCTTTGATATTCAAGGTAGAAATCAGCCGTTGTTTTCTACAATGACAGGTATGTCCTGAGATTAAAATTATTTGGGAAAGTTATACAATACAATAGCATTCAAGGAATCTAAGCAATGTTTATCTAAGTTTAACTATCACCAAAATCAACAGGATGGGCATATGTTAATAAAAATACTACGAAATATATTCAAAATGTAGGCTTTTAAAATGCATTCATAAAAAACCCACAAAGAAAGAGTACTAGCTGCTATTGAATATTTATCAATTTTTTGTTAACACTAATTACTAAACAATTTAAAATGTGATAGACTATGCTCTATTGTCACGTATCCTATGTAATGATATTTTATCAATGCAGGCATAACTCAATTCCTTTCCAGGTTACATATATACTAACAAAAACTAAGAAAAATTATTAGTGCCACAATCATCATCCAAAAGAAAGTGATTATTTAAAACAAATGCTTTTATTTCAGGAATGAAATAAATGTTTATTCCAAACGATTCAGTTATCACATGTTCTGTAAAATGATTAACCCAAAATATATACGTTTTGGTAGCAAATAACAGCGACTGAAATAACAAAATAATATTGGTAAGGAAATTCATACCTGCCTTTGAAACTGCAAAATTTAGAACCTGCATATCCTAAATACTAAGCTAATTAATAAGTGCATTTTTCCGATGAATATTACATAATTGACAACCTTCAAGGTCCCGAAACCTATTCATAATACATTTTCTATACGATAACCTAATAACTAAAAATAAGAGAAAGGCATCTAGCTTGGCCAACAAACCTGCAAGATTTTTGGATAATAAGATTCCAGAATAGTAAAAAAATTAATTACAATATTACAAAATGTTTGACTATGTGTTATGCTTCAAATTTTTCAAAGAGAGACATCTTTCAAAAACATAAAAACATCAATGTTTGCTCATCGTTACTGGAATCCATGCTATAGTGAAAATAACATCGTTACATGATAGAGCATTTAATTATGAATGGCTGTTAACTGATGGACGATTTCTCTAATGTGCTAAACAGAAATTGATGCTTGAACAAGTACAAGTTGGGCATAAGAAACAAATCAGCATTACAAGCCCCTTCATGGATACCACGCAAAGAGGCTGCACTAAGTGTTTCTCCAAAGAGTATTAAAAATCTACTTCAGATTTTGGCTAGAATGACAATGTATATCTTTGAAGGACTTTAAATACAATAGATGACAATGTATGGTATCATCAGCGTTTCATTTCAAATTTTGCGTATTATAAATTATTAGGTGCTATTTAGGCTTCAACAAAAATATTCACTTAAATTATTTAAAGAAATTAAAACTAAAACTACAGACAGTTAAACCTCAAACCTTGAAATCATTTATATTTTGTGTCTATGTAGACCGTATTAGTGAAGATGTCAAAAAACGTCAAAAAACGTCAAAACAAATTTCTGAGAACAAGTAACACTAAAAGTAAGTATGCATACAACACTCATATGTTTGACATGTTGATACCAAAGACCTCATTATAGAAGAGATTTCAGTAAGTTCGTGTCATTCCGTTTGGAATTTACTTTACCGACCAAGATTTATAAAAATATTGTTATGTCCATAAAACATGATACACTTCTCTGTACTGAATAAATATGTTAAACAAGATCGTTTCTAAAAAAATGCACATTTAACTCTGTAAGAGATGCTTTGTTTTTAAATAAAAAAACATGTCCAACGGTAATTCTCGCAACATCCTTGCAGAACGGCAAGCATCGAAAAATACATACAAGGACAGAAACGAGAGAATATACCCAAATCACGAGGATAGAAGACATGGACTGAGATCATTTGGTTATCCCTCAGACATCTTAACCGCTCCGTCGGATAACAGCAAGAAACAAAAAAACACTAAATCAACAAAATCAACATCTTAATCGCTCCGGCTGTCGAAAGAATCTACTGAAATCATAAGGCTTGAAGGGCCGATTTCGTATGAAATGAACGAAACTCTACAGAGAAACAAAAACAAGTCATCGGTAGTTTAGATTCAACCATGAGTAGCAACAAAGGCCAATACACCGACCTACGCTTTGATGTGTAGGTTGATGAACGGTGAGTTTTTGAATGGGTGTACGGAAGCGGTTGGAGGGTTGAGGCAATATATATAACGTGTGATTAAGTTTTGGTGGTTTGGGTTCATTTAATAGATATCTATTGGACTTATAGAAAGAGTGGGTTGGGCTATAAAAATAATGAGTTATTTTATGTGATTCGGAATAATGCCAATCACGTGTGATTGGCTCATAATTTTATTACTCTATTTTTAAATTTTAAACTTTCATAATTATTTATTGGAAACTCAAAATTAAACTGTAATAATTAATTGGGTTGTTATTTACATTTGTATGGGTTGAATTGTTTTAATTTTCATATTTTTATATTAGCATACTTTTTTAATACTCCATTCATCCCTCTTAAAGGTTACCACGCGGTTTACGATGTTTGACTGACCATAAGTTAATTGATCCCTGTTATTAATAAGATTATTTTTAGTAAATAAAATTTACATATTCAGAAACTACATTAACAATTTTAGGAATAACAGGATGCATGAGTGGTGAATTAGGAATGGGTTCATTAGTTGTGTACCACATAAAAACAAGGTAAAAATTATTTTTAATTTTTCATTTTTTAAGAATTTTATTATATAAATTTTGAGTGTTTTTCTAAAAAGTTTTTTCCCGGGAAGATTTTTTTTTATAAAGTTGATACGGGTATCCGTCACGATACGGGTATCTAAAATTTTAAAATAATTACCAAAAAAATGGAAATTTTTAAAAATTGCAGATACGATCGGGAACGTACGATACGTGTATCCTAGAGTATCGGAAATTTTAAAATAATTACCACAAATGAAAAATTTTAAAAATTGCAAATACAATTCGAGAACGTATGGTACGGATATATCCTAAAGTATCGGATACGGGAACGTATCTGATACGTCAACCGTGCACGCTAGTAGTGAAGTTATCCGTGCTTCGCGGGTTATAGCCACACCACACAAAGTCAACACAAGAGAGACCAATTGGAATGGGGGAAATCTCGCCTTATCCACACTCAGCCACAATCCCAACTTCATTCTTTTCCACATCACCCTCCTTCCTGATCAACTCATCAAAGAATGATCCAAATACCAATTCCAATCCTCTTAATCCCATCTGTTCATCAAGTTTGTTTTTCTCTTTAATATTTCTAGAAAGTAATCCCATCTTCAAACAGCAAAAATGGCTGCCATGAACTCCAGCGTGTTATGCAACAACTATGCCATATCATCACCTGCTGCTTCATCATCTCAGTTCATTGCAAAGAGTGCTTCTGCAATGACAACTCCAATTCCAACTTGTTCTAAACTGCCTCCCACAATCAAGTTTCAGAGACAAGCAATTCGTATGGAGACTGAAAACAAAAAGGGCAGAAGAGTTGCTCTGCTTACCCTTGCAGCTGCCCTTTTTGCCACTGCTGCTTCTCCCTCTTCTCCTGCAGATGCTGGAATCATAGAGGACTATCTTGAAAAAAGCAAAGCCAACAAGGTAATTAGCTACCACTGTGCCCACTCCATTTGCAGTGATGAACAAAACTACTCTATAATCTTTGCAAAATATTACTCCGTATTAAGACTTGGGGCTTGTTTTATTCGGAGAGGAGGCATTGATAATTAGTTTTTTATTGTATTAATTTTTTCTTTATTAGGTGGGTTTAGATTGAAATTAATTGCATCACTAGTTACATTATGCATTTCTATATAGTTTTTATCTTCACTTTATTTATCTAAATGCAGAAATGATTTAAAAATATACTCCGTATAAATAACCCTTCCCTTCCCAAATCACTGAACCATACAAGTAATCTCCATAGTTTTATATTATATCAATGTGAGAATGTGAGCTAACTGAAGAGTTAAGACTATGTAAATTCAGGAATTGAATGACAAGAAAAGACTGGCCACAAGTGGTGCTAACTTTGCCAGAGCCTATACTGTTCAGTTTGGAACATGCAAGTTCCCTGAAAATTTTACTGGCTGCCAAGACCTTGCCAAACAAAAGGTTTTATTTTGAACTCTTCTCAATTTATGGGGGAAAAAGGTTTCGTCCCACTTTTTGTTGACAAGAAGTACCCGAGAATGTGGTATTAATAAGCTAAAATAAAGTTTCATGATGGAATGACAGAAAGTAGCATTCATCACTGATGACTTGGAATTGGAATGTGAAGGCAAGGATAAACACAAGTGCGGTTCCAATGTTTTCTGGAAATGGTGAAGTGTGTAAGCCTGTGATCATCATTCCTAAGAAGTATTTACATATCATTTCCTCCATGTAAAACCTATAATTCATGAGTTGTTTTGTCATTCCTAATGCATATAATTGTTAGTACCTACTAATCTAACTTTTAAATTTTAAATAAGATGAGAAAGTCCACCTCTGATATGGTGGGTAAAAATTTGAGTAATTTATCCTACAGTCCTACTTCAAGACTAATGCATGTTAGCACATAAATCCGTAGAGTCATTTCTCTTCAACTGAGAACACGGCGAAGGGAAAACACCATAACTGGCACCAGATATATATTCACAATTCCATCTTGCTGACGTGGCAAGGCCAAAGATGCTTATGTTTTTCAAGCATATGCCCTCAAATGGTGATTCCTTTATACCCTGCAGCAGAGGCGCTCTCCTTGTTTCCAAACTCACAACATTGCTGACTGATATTCCCTTGACTACTGGTAGCGCGTTAGGGTCCCACCCTTCATCGGGGTGGTCATTAGCGCCTCTGCTGAACCTGAGGGGAATCTTGACCCTCTCCATTGTAATGTTGTGTATGGTGATGTTTAGGATGTATCCTCCTCTCCCTTTGTCTGTCTTAATCCGAACCCCTGCCGCCGAATCTCTGACGTAAAGATCCTTAATGATGACATTTGAGACACCCCCAGACATCTCGCTCCCAATCCCCACCCCAGAGCATGTTGGGGTTGTGCCTGAAACTCTTTGGATTATGACATTTGTGCTTGGCCGGGCAGTTCTCATCCCATAGTGGTCCCACCCGCTCTTCACGGCGACAAGATCGTCACCACTCTCAATGTAACAATCTTCAATACAGACATTCATGCTCGAATCTGCCAAAAGATTACACATATTTCCAAACATCAGCAACTCTTTCTCATATACGTCAGAGTCTCATAAAGGAATACTCAAGAAAGAGATACCTGACATTAAAGGGTCTTGGTTAGATTATCAGATTATGTACCCATTGAATCTAATCTTTTAGTGTGGATGAGGTGGGTTGTATGTCATACTTATATTTCAAACTATGGATTGGTGCCTAAGAAACAAACAAATCACAGTAGAACTGGTGTCTAATACAGCCTTACGCACCACAAAGGATCCTTAGAAGGTACTTATATATTAGACGCTAATATATGTTATCTGTTGTTCGACACTTTATTGTTATTATCCAGTTAAAGGAGCTTGACCAAGCTATGAATTATATCAATATCAGTGTTCTAAAAAATTCAGTCAAGCTCTGTCTAGATGTTAGGCTTCACTTGACTGACTCTTTTCATTTCTTATTTCGGCATCGAGTCAGCCCTTTTATGCGCTAGTGCCTACAACTGTGGTAAAGGGAGCTATGTGTGTTAATAGTTTCACATCGAAATATTGAAGAGGGGCATATGAGTTGTAAAATCTTGGATTAGACAGGTTATTTCATATTTCATTGGTTTTAATAATTTAGGTGATCTAGCTCAAGTAAATTATAGTCCAGCTGAGTGGCCATGCCCCTGTGAATTCTATCAATGTGAAAAGTACCTGGATCTATGCCATCCGTGTTCGGAGCGTTGAGAGGAGCCAAGATTGTCATGTCTCTAATCACCACATTACTTAAAAAACAAACAGGTTTTGTGGAATGTTAATATTTTTTTGTAGAATTGCATTTAATAAGAATTATTTGTATGGCACAATATAGTTTAGGATTTAGGCGAAAAGGTAGAAACCAGTAAACCAAGGCAAGGTGAGTTATAGTCTATTTATACTTCAAAGGGGAGTATAAAGTAAGTAAGAAAATAAAAGCACCTGCAATAAACAGGATGAACATTCCAAAATGGAGAGTTGAGGAAAGTGAGATTAGATATGAGAATATTATTTGAGTTGACCAGTTCAACAAGGTGGCCTCTTGTGTTCTTCAGTGTCCTGTTCCACCAAAGGTCCCACCACATCTTTCCCTGCCCATCGATTGTTCCATTTTCCCCTGAAAATAAACTGAAACTAATTGTTCAGATGCCCTTGAGCAAACACACCATGGAGCAAACTGCTGGAATGCGTTACCACCATTGTTATTTACTTATTCTCTACCGAGTATGTCATAAAAACATATTCTTAGGACTTCAAAAGTAAATACCATGCATCTATTTAATCACATACAAATACTGAGTACTATGTCTATATGGTAGGAGAAAAACAATACCCGTAATTACCACATCAGAAAGACTATTTCCATGAATGAGGCTAATATGTCTCCCTCCCAATCTTTCTCTTCCTCGTCCATACGATGGCAATGCCTGAATGATAGGCCATTCATTTGGGTCCTTGATTTTTTTAAAAATGACAAGTCAATCAATTGATAAATGATATCTCCATTAACCACTATAATTATAAATCAACCAAAATATTGTAACTCATTAAATTATTAGTTAACTGAGTAGAGACATCTGAGTGATCGAAGGCAAAAAAAAGAGGTTGTACTGAATAATTCAGTGATAAAATACCGTGTTAAACCTTCGCTTGAATAATGACATTCTTCACCCCGTTTTTTGAATTGTACTTTTATTTTTAACTTATTTGTTTATTTAATCAAGTTATTAATTTATTATAATAAGGTTCTCTGCGATCTGCTGTTTTTTTAGACGACTTATTTTTACATACACTCACTCTTCCCAGAATTCATAGTATAGTTTTCTTTTTGTAAATTGACAAAGTTTTATACAGTATAAAATATCAAGTTCAAACTTATTTTGAGAGGGCAAAAAATATCAAATTTTGAGGGTTAACTTCTGCAAAATAGTAATTGAAGAAGTTTATTGCACATTTGTATCGTCAATTCTGTGCCAAAAAAAAATGAGATTATCAGTTTGGGAAGGAGGGGAGTATATTATACTTCGTATATTACAAAAAAAGGTAATATTTTGCAAAGATAAGAAAATAACTTGGAATAAAAAGTCATTAACTGGTCAGGGTCCAACGAATGAAGATGGGGTGCAAAGGTTGGATTATTCTTGAATAACGAAAAGATGAGACTATCGTAAGAAGACTGCTAAAATGTTAGATTATTAGTTTCCATTTTCCCATAAAGTAATAATGATTTAGTGTTAGAATCCTACACCTGAATCTTAACATTTAGAGTTACTCAAATTTTATGGTATGAGGCAATCGTATGACATTTCACGAAAATGTAAAATGAGAAAATATTTGTGAAATGGAGGGAGTACTTACTAATACTCCGTAACATTAATGATTATTTTGAACAAAAAGTTCAGTGGATAAGAGCATATTCAATGCTACAAGGTGCAAGGTGCTCATGTGACATGAGAGGTAGCCACATAAATATTACGGAGTAGCAAATAACTTATATATTTCCTTATTTGAATGATTTTATACAATTTTGGTAAATTTTTCTCCACGATGTCCAAAAGATCGTCTAGATGTTGACATTGTGATTGATAAGAAAAACTTATTAAAATTGTGGAAAATCATTCAAATAAGAAAAGAGATAATTTACCCGCACGGGTAGCTCAGTTGGTCGAATGGCGGGAGATTTGGAACAATAGACCAAAGTTCGAATCCCCGCAGCGACCGGGTAGAGGTCACAGAACCTGAAATAAGGTTGGGCCTCTGGTGCGCACGGGTGTATGGGCCTACTGTCATTCTGCTGACTGAGTCACCGTGACTAACCTCCCCATCATCATGTCGGGTCGGGGTGGGGGGCTCCTGGGGTGGGAGATTCCACCTTTTTTTGGAACAAGGGAAGAGATAATTTATATGGCTATGACTCATTCATACCACATGTGCACGGTGCACATTGTAGTAATTTTTTTAGAAATATAGGCCGGCCACCCAATTGGAAAGAATGAGAAAATGATAAGACATAAGAATATAAAAGATGGACGAAAAGTACGTTAATGGTAAGAATTTGCTCAAAGCAAAAAGAACTCTTGAAAGCAACCATAAACAAGAAAATGGAGCAAACATTTAGAATATAAAATGATCGAGCATATATAAGTAATACTCTTGAAGTATAAATTAAAATAATTCTTTTTTCTCGAATGCATTCACTCGAATGTCCGGTCCTTAATGTTCTTTAGCGGTGCTAGTTTCTTCTTATGACAATAAAACTACTCCTTTTTATTTAACAAAATCACGTCATATTACTCCGTTTATTTATTTAGGTGCCATCATTTATAGAAGTTGATAGTATTTAGAGTTTTGAAATTCCAAAATAGGAGTATAATGTTTTTTATTCTTTGAATTGGAGTAAATTTCTGCTAAGTTTGGCCTTACTATGCTTTAAAACATGGCATTTTTTTTCAAACTTGACAGATTACTCCTATTCGGGGAATAAAAAATATGACACTCTTATTTTGGAATTTCAAAATGTTTTTGCTCCTATTTAGAGCAATTTCTATTAGAGTTTTTATCGCAATATAGGAGTTTAATTTTCAATTAGACTAAACAAGGGAGAGAAGGTAGGGCCGCCTCCATTTATCTGATCGTTGTGATCTCTCCGGCGGTCGGGTAGGAAAAGAATCGTAGTAGCAATTTTCTTAGCTTCTACCCTTGTTCACGTGTTATTGGGTTATGATCCATCGTGATTACTCTTTTGATGTTGTTGTGCTTGTTTTGTTCTATGACGGTTCTTTCTCGGGCATTGGCGCTCCATGGTGTTTTGTCTCCCTCGATGTGGGGAGTTGCTTTGGTGTTCGTGTCAGGTTCGACTGGTCAGGAGTTTATGTTTGTCTTATTTTGGGCAACGTAGAAAGTGGTAGAGGCATAAAGATTGTTTTTATTCCACCTATTGCTATGTCTACTTTAAACGAAGAAAGAAGAAGAATTTAGTTTTCATCCATATTGCAACAGCTCATCCTCCTCCGAAACCACCTTCGTGCCAAGAAGAGTTTTGTGGAAGAGCTTTATTTAAGTATTATCGTTGCTTTGGCGGTACTTGTGTTTATTTTAGTTCCATTAGTTTTGATTTGAATGTTTGGATATTTGGAATACTTTTGTTAGGTAGTGTTTCAGTTTCGGTCGTATTAGGCTTAAAATTGTCCGTTTTGTGTCTAGCGAGTCAGGATGTTTTGTATGAGGTGGCTGATTTTAAGTTTATTCCTAGGGCTTACGATTGGAACTGTTATAACTGTCGAGGTTGTTTTGTATGTTATTTTGATATTAATATAAAAAATCGCTCTTTTATGAGAATGGGATTCACATTTTGGACTCGCACAGGTAGCTCAACGGTGTTTGAGTGAGATTGTTAGATTGAGATTTCAGGTTCAATTCTCGTCAACTGCAGTGTGGGAGTTTCATCCAATGTGATGACTCCTTGTGCGCACCAGATCCTGAACCATCTAACTCAGAAACCATTTGAGATCATCATGAATTACTCATTCACATTCTACCGGGTTAGGGTGTGAGGTGTCCGGCCTGTGTTAGGATTCGCATTTTGGATATTAAGAAACGATCGATGTCCCCAACACAGAAAGCTTTTACATATTTTTCCTTTAATTATTAGCTTTAAGGGTTGGTCGTTTAATTGCATTGTACTTGCTAAGTTTTCGGGTTCTTGCCGTGCGGTTGTGCCCTAAATATCAAGGATTGGTAGTGTTTGGATATGATTGAATAACTATTTTTGCTAGTGTGACCTATGAATTGTCTACATATTTACTACTTATAAACTTCGTATACAATACACGATAGTACTACGTACTTACTTAGTAATGATCGACCAACTACCACTACCTCCAAACAATTAACTTTACCAAATACTTTATGACCACCAAAAATCACCATCCATTGGGACCATTGGTCAAAACGGACACACAATTATTACCTAACAATTGATTACCAAATAAGACTTTTATGTACGTATATACGAGAAACAAAAATACATTTAAAGTATATACGATGAAAAAGAGTCGTATCCGATCCCTTTATAATAAATGTACCATCGAGTACATTTACTCGTTATGTTAAACGAAAGTCAACTAAACCTTTAAATTGATACTCCGTATATTGTAATTGAATTAAATGTTCAAATTGATACTCCATGTATTGTAATTGAACGGCATTTCTCTTTAAAGTAATTCTAGTTTATAGTAGTGTTTTGTGATCATTGAGATGATAAATTTGTATTATTATATTAACAAACAACTACGTAGTATATATCTACACACCCGGCCCGCGCGTCCTTGCTAGCGTTTAGAGGTGACAAGATATACTAATACTAGTACATAAATGACGATGGAAAGCATAATTTGTCCCAGATCAGATCAAACCAGACAAGACCATACCAGTTCAGACCAGACCAGATCAGACTTGGATAGTTATAAAAATACAAAGAAATCAGACCAGACCAGACCAGATCAGACCACTTCAGACCAGACCAGATCAGACCAGACTAGCAAATTACAGTCCAAGTAAAAACATCCTTAATCATAAAGACAATTAATTAAACATATAATAAGGAAGGTATACATCAGCAGTAAAAAAATCAAGGAATTTTATCAATCTAGGACCTGAAAGATAGACAAACTATCAATTTGAGACCTGAAAGATGAAATGTATCGGTATAAGATCCGAATGATAGAAAACTATCAATCTAGGACCCGAATGATTGAAAACTATCAATTTAGGACCTATGTTTTCATAAATTTTATTTTTTTTTTATTTTAAAAAATTTAAATAATATTTAGTTTTATTAAACTAAAAAACTTTTGTGAACAAAATTTCACCAAATATTAGCAATGGAATTAATAAAAAATTAAATAAATCAAAACCTATGAAATGTTAGGTCCTAGATTGATAGTTTTTCATCTTTCGAATTCTATACTCATACATTTCATCTTTCAGGTCCCGGATTGATAATTCGTCTATCTTTCAGGTCACAAATTGATAAAATTACAAAAATCAAAGAAATCTAACGACTTATGTCACTGTCTCCGTGTTCGCATTGGTTCTTTAATAATCTCTGATTAAAGTCGTATTGTTACGACTAAAGAGGACGATGCACAATACGCATTGAAGTCAATATGGATACCATGGCACAATTAAAAACGGCTTTAACCGTAACCCATTAACATCATTAGGTGCGGAAATATGATGAAGTATCACTGTTCACGGATATTTTAGGTGCGGGGTATGATTTTGTTAAATATATATACTATATCGTATATCAATTGTTATTATAGCCCTAATATTATTAAGAACAAATTAAAGCATATTCATTATTTATGTAAAGTAATTGGACAATTAAACTCCCTTTTCATTGTTTGCATTGAAATTAGGGGTGTCCCCAACTTAGATTTTTTATAGGAATTAATGGAATTAATGGAATTAATTGCTAGCATTTCTGGACAACCACTGAGAACAAAATTGTGACTTGTGAGTGTCTATGAAGCCGTTGGAGTCCAGATTCAAATGAATCGGGAAGTGAGTTTCAGGTGTGGGGAAGAGTGAAGCCACCATGCTCGAGAACAGGGTAGCAGGCGTTTGGTTGGATGCAGGGGTGGATCCAAGAAATTCATGTTGGAGGGGCGGTAATTTAATCAAAAAAAAAAATTAGGCGTTCAAAAAATCTTTATTTTAAATGAAGCATTAAAATAGTACACAATAGACAAAAAATAGAAGAAAAGAGAAATATATTATTAGAGAATAGTAAAGTTAAT